CCATCTTGGTTGGCAGTTAATTTGCATATCGCCCTGATTAGCCAATGGGAAGCGTGTCGGAGGTACGGTTAATTACCATGTTTGTCTATTATTAGATAGGATAACGTGGGTCATTCACAAATATTTTTCAAATTGCAGTAATCAAATAAAAATATGTGGTTTTAAATAAAGATATTGTTCTTAAATATAGACAAACACTTAAAGAACAATTATCTTTATCTTTACACACATACACATTTCACATTTTCTAATTGTTTCTCTAATTATTAAGTGCAACCTATGTTTATTTATCAGAGCCTCTGTTAGATAAACATGATTGTTGTCAGCAGGGTTTAATATTCAAAAAGGGTTACATCTTTTCCTAGTTGGTTTGGCTCAGTGAATAGAGCATTGGCCCACGGACTGAAGGGTCCCAGGTTCAATTCTGGTCAAGGGCATGTACCTCAGTTGCAGACTCAATCCCCAGCCCCAGGTTGGGGTGCGTGTGGGAGGCAACAACCAATTGAGTCTTTCTCACATCTATGTTTCTCTCTCTCTGTCTCTCTCCCTTCCTTCCACTCTCTCTAAAAATAAATGGAAAAATATACTTGGAAAAATATCCTTGGGTAAGGAGTAATAGAAAAAAAAGGGGGGGCGCTACATCTTGAAAGGTACAATGCAGGGAGAGGAAGTTTAAGAATACTTAAGGGATTTGCTTTCTGCTTGTGTGATTAGAAAACTGCCATCACCGGTGAAGTATGACTCATATCTGAGCACTCCAGTACTTAATCTCTTTCAAAAGTAATCTTTTTAGCAAAACTGAACTAAAGTATACAACTATTTGAAACATGGTATGTTTTTTTTTCCATTTCAACTCATTAGATCTCTGGCCTTGGACGTGAGGATAATGGTGGTTATTTTTAAGTAGGAGATAAGAGAATAAAGTAGAAAAACAAGTGTTCTGCAAGGAAATTGTCTTCATTTTAGTGGCAAGAAATAAAAGAGAGTGGTATAGTGCTGGGGAAGCATCCTATTCACAGTACTTTACCTTTGAGAACTGACCACTTTCCTCACTATAATCTTACCTCTACTGCATACTACTCACATCATCTCTGCATTGCACACCATCTGTAGGTTGTAACTAGAAAAATTTTGTTCTTGCAGATTATTTCTTCAATCCTCAATTCAGTAGAAATAGGAAAAATAATTAATAAATGGAGAAACCTGTTGTTTTTACAATGACCCAACCCTTCTCCTTCTGATCTTCGGCACTTATAGCCATCCAAGAGAAGTGATTGCAGTGACATTTGCTTCTCTTGTCAGATCCCTCCCACAGAAATGTGTTATGTGAGGTCAGGAATCATGTTTAATGCATTTTTGTTTCATTTTAAATGTCCATCAGAATGTTTTGTATATTAGAAGTACAAAATAAGTGAATAAAGTCAGTATGAAAAGAATGAATAAAAATTGTTTTAAATTGCGCTCTATAACATTGTGATTTTAAAAGCACAAAAACTTTCTGATGCATTTCTCTAGCTTTCCTTTTTGTGTGTGAAATTTTATCTTTCTGTGAGATTTCTACCTTTGGCAGAATCTTTATTCCATATTTCAATTATCTCTTAAACTCAGAATCAACATATTTTTACTATTAACAAAATTTACTGGAAATTATCAAATATATTTATCTCTTCCTGTGTTGTAAAGGACCAATAAAGGGTAAAAAATAAAAAAATAATAAAACTTTAAAAGGAAAGGCAAACAAGGCACCATAGCACTTCAAACAAAACTGCATTTAAATCCTGTTCAGCGGCCCAGCCAGCATGGCTCAGTGGCTGAGCATCGACCTATGAACCAGGAGGTCATGGTTTGATTCCTGGTCAGGGCACGTGCCTGGGTTGCAAACTTGATCCCCAGTGTGAAGCATGCAGGAGGCAGCCAATCAATGATTATCTCTTATCATTGATGTTTCTCTCTCCTGCCCTTTCTGAAATCAATAAAAAAATTTTTAAATGTTTAAATAAATGAATAAATAAATCCTGTACAGCTACTTATAAAATGAGTGATTTGGGGCATATTAATTAATCTTTCTAATTCTCAGTTTCCAAATTAAAAAACAAAAGAAAAAATGTATTTCATAGGATCATTTTAAAGGTTAACTAAAACATCATATATGATCAGTATGATGCTTGCTCCATTGCAAGTATTCATTTATTGGTGTTCATTACCATTATTAGTTTTTATTATTATGTTATTAACTAGAGGCCCAGTGCACGAAATCCATGCACGGGGCAGGGGGAGGAGTTCCTTCAGCCTAGACTGCATCCTCTCCAATCCAGGACCCCTTGGGGGATCTCTGGCAGTTAGTCATCCCTCTCACAATCTGGGATTGCTGGCTCCTAACTGCTCACCTGCCTGCCTGCCTGCTTGCCCCTAACTGCCCATCTCCCCACACAGCCTGCTTGTTCAGTCATTTGGTCATCCCTCACTTATCCCCCTGCCGGCCTGGTCGCCCCATGCAGGCTGCTTGTTCAGTCGTTTGTTCGTCCCTCACTAACCCCCTGCCGGCCTGATCACCCATGCAGCCTGCTGTTTAGTCATTTGGTCGTCCCTCACTAACTCCCCTGCTGGCCTGGTCGCCCCACACAGCCAGTTGTTTGGTCATTACTGTTAACTGTGACGGCATCCTGGACAATTTGCATATTCCTCTATTATTAGTATAGATTATAACAAAAATTATCAATAGCTATTGGTAATAAAATAAGTTGATCAATATATTGGCATGATATTGATAACATAATTATCAATAATAATAGAATTATCAAGAGCAACATGAAATCTATAATAAAACTGAGAGGCAAAGCCAAAAGTTGGGGGAACCCATCTTGGTGCCAAAGATCAGAAGGAGAAGGGTTGGGTCATTGTAAAAACAACAGGTTTCTCCATTTATTAATTATTTTTCCTATTTCTACTGAATTGAGGATTGAAGAAATAATCTGCAAGGTAAAGTACTGTGAGTGGTGACAAAGAAGACTTTTGCTGGCTGGCCATTCAATATGAAACAACAGGAAGTGACTGTGTTTCCTCCAAACAGGTTATAATGTAAATATTATAAAAATCTGGCTTAGATAACATTTACAGAAAGAAATTGAATATATACAAAATGTAATTGTTAATTTAAAAAAAATCTTGATCTTTAATGTAGAATTTTTATTTAAGAGCTTCAGTTTTGGGGAAAGACCACAAAGAATGCATGCAGAGTTCATTGCTACTGTTAGATGGCAACTAACAATCTAAGGAGCAGTTTGTGAGAACATGTTTTAAAGTGGGCAATGTTTCTCATAAAAGCGTTATTTTCAAAAAAACAACATATAAGGATTATTTATTACCACTAGTTTTTCTGAAGAATAAAGCATTAAGTTGTCACCTCAGGTTTTGTTTGTTTAGGATAGTTCTGGGGATCTGAAGCAAAAATATTGTTCTGATGTAAAGACTATGAAGCCTGAGGCTTTTTCACCACTTGTGCTAATTTTTGAGTTTCCCGTGAAAATAAAGTATGTGCCACAAATGGAAAAAACAAAGATTATAATTTCAACTGTGAGCCATGTGTGGTGAAAAGTAAACAAAAATTGCTAAGTCAGTGAAAACTTAGCTTGTTGCAATGTTTCTTATTTTTCTCTGCCCTGGTTCACACTTTCACATGTTTCTATCCTTTTATTTATCAGTGGCTTGATGTCACAACATTACTTTGCAAGAAATAAGAGATCATTCACTTTACCAGACTCCTGTGTCCCCTCTACCTTCCCTACCCTTCAATCTTCTAAAGATCTTATCAGAATGAATTCAATTAAATGACCTCTTGAGTATTTTTTATAATTATAATAATTTTATTTTCATGGATCTATAGTTAAAATACCACTGGGAGTACAACTTTGTGGCAATACCTTGAGATTAGATTGATATGCAAGGACTAGAGGCAAAGTGAAAGAGCTGTCTTTTTCAAATGACAGATTGCAGATGCTTCCAAAAGATGCTTATTTCCAAGAGGCAGCCTTCTATGTGCAAAATCATTATCAGCCCTGAATTCAATTTACTGCAGGTTGAAATACAAGGACAGTTTGGTATTCTCATAAGCGTCTGGCTTAGAAACTGACAAACTTTTATTTGAAGAGATTTCTTTTTCTTGAAAGCAATAGAAAGTTTCTAAAGAAATACAATGATGCAGCAGGTATTTGGGGCAATATTCTATGCAAGCAGAATTATTGTTATAAATTTTAATACGTTATGATAAAGTAAATACTGAGACTCAGAAGGAAAGTAAATGACACTTTGCAAAACATAAAATGTATAAAGCAGGTTGTGGAAATTATGGTAATTGCAGAAAAATGTCTGAATCTTCATGACTAGTTGTAGCTGGTCTCAGGCCACTGGCTGAGCCTCAGTGCTAAAACATGTAGATAATTGATTACTGAATTTACTGCATATAAGATCATAGCTCACCGACATGCTGCCCAAGTCTCTTATATCAGTATATATTCTATCTGCATAGAGGAATTTTCATAAATAAAGGCAATAACCACAGGCTAAGGATTAGAAGCTTGACTAAGAGAGAAGATGTGTGAAGGTCAGAAGAAGTTTCAGATCAATAAAGAAAAAAAAACTATAAAGAGGAGAAAATTTTAAAGTTGACAATGAAAAGAGCAATAAAATAAATGTTTTTTTCCTAAAAGTGAAAGGATTTTGCATTTAATCCCTGCTTTTCTCTGAGAAGGAAAGCTAACTCCACAGAGCTCTGACTGTTGATAATTACAGAGTAACTTTCTGATTTCTGCAAAGTGGGAAAGAGATCGAAGTTCATCAAAAGCATTAGCAAAAGCAATTTCTTGCTGTGTCAAGATTCAGAAGCTCTCACCTTCTTCTCTTTCTCTCAGCAAGTCTCAGCAAGGAAATGAGTTCCCAGGACCAACAAACACATGGTGGCACTTGGCAGAAAGAGGAAAAATGAGAGGAGACCACTAGCTTTCTATCAGCAATCATGTTAATATTAAACTTTTTTTTAACCAAACCTGTTAATTTAATACTTTTCCAGTAAAGTTTACAAGAAATGTTCATGAGAACAGACACTAATTTGTTTAGGGTAAAACCATTTTCTCAGCTATAAAATACACTAAATAGCCTGGCCAGCATGGCTCACTGACTGAGTGTCAACCTATAAACCAGGAGGTCACAGTTCTATTCCTGGTCAGGACACAGACACGGGTTGCAGGCTTGATCCCCAATAGGGGATGTGCAGGAGGCAGCTGATCAATGGTTCTCTCTCATCATTGATGTTTCTATCTCTCTCTCTCCCTCTCCCTTCCTCTTTGAAATCAATAAAAATATATTTTTAAAAATACACTAAAGAAATGAAGATATTTATAAAATTTTACCCAGGGTATCTTGAGTCAGCAAGAGGGACTATGAGGTAATATGTATAAATCATTTTAACTTGTCTTATATTTTTATATCAAGCAAGAGAAGTTTTTTTCCAAAAGGTTTTGAAAAACTTTTTTTCAAATTAGTATACTATGGTGTTTAATCCACAAAGTGTTCTGCCCCAAAATTGGTTCTGTGACAGAATTACTATGATTTGGATAAAAAGCAATCATTCATTGTGACTTGAGTAGAGAGGCTGTGTTTGTGTGTATATGTGTAAAATTGTGACAAATGAAAAATCTGCTGAGAAAAGATGAGGCTACCCTGTATATCACATTTATGATGATGGAATTCATCCCATAAATAGTTAGGAGCCAGTAAAGGAGTTGCATCAGTCATTTTCATGCTCTAGATGTGTGTTAGGACAATTGTCCTGGCAACATGTTCGACGGCTACTAGCCTTATAGCAACTGAGCTCAGTTACTAACTTATGAGAAGAGAAGTAAACAGATAGATTGACAGGTATTTAAAGGAGGTAAAGGGGAGATATTGCTGAGCATCATGTCCAATTCTCAGCAAAGCACAGTCAAGGTCATCTGGACTGTGAAGGTCTGGGGCAGAACTCTAGCTAGCTGAGGATTTTTCAAGAGGTTACTGAGTTTATGTTATGTTTAAGCTCTGCTCACTGATTTGAAATGATAAAAAAAAACTGAAAATGAATTTTCTTTAGTTGATAATTTTTGAGAATAGAAAAATCTGCTTATATAAAAAATTATCAGGCATACTTTTCTTGAGCTCTTGTTAAACTTTAGTCAGACAAATTCTTAAGTTTTTTATGCCAAATCTTTTCCTCATCTTCATTGCTGTATGAAAATATCTTTGTGCAATTATTGATTAGCTATATTCTTGTTTAAAAGTTCACTTGATGGAACTCAGTGAACAGTTTATATTTATTTCACCTAAAATAGTGTTTACTCAACACTTCATCTTACTTCTCTTTATAATCTTGGTTTATGTATGCACCAAAGTGATCAGTTACCTTAATAGTAAGAAAATCAAATCTTAATTATCCACTATGAGAAGAGCAATAACATGGGTCATTGACACTCAAAAATAATCATATTATTTTGAATATACTTCCTCCAATATGAATTGTTTCCTGACTGAACTGCTGAGAAATAGACATGTGTAAATTTTACTCTCCGTGTCCCCCAATTTAATATGAACAAGTCACCTACAATGTAAGATAACTGTAGAAGCCATGTGTCTGATAATCAGTCCAAGACTAGGAAAGAATATACAATGCCTTTGAAATGGTTTGGGTTGCAACATCTTGATTCGCCCTATTTACAGTGAGAAATTATCCATTTTGTTTTCACATTTTAGAACTGCAGGAGAAGAGTAGTGAAATGATGTAAATTGATCTTCACTTAACCTATCCATGGAGCAAGCTGCTTTGATTTGAAATATTCATTGAGTGTGTGTGCAATAACTATGGCTAGCTCGAATGTATTCCAGGGGATACAACTACTTATTGTGTTCATGGAGTTCTGCCAATCTACTCTGTTTGAAAGTAGGTCATAATTAAAATGTAATCACTCGGTTTCACTGGAATTTCTGCTTAAGCCGAAGAGTCAGAATTAAGCAAAATCATGTTAAGAGGTACTTCTGCAACAGCAGGAGCGATTTGTCTTCCTTTTGAACTAGGGCCTAGGCTGTTAGTTTCCTCTTCAGTATTGCTTTCTCCATGACTGTTTTTCTTATTAACCAAAAAGAAGATATACAAAGATGAATGGACTCACAGGGTTGCATGACTTATTTTAGGCATGGATGTTACTTATGCCCATTTTCAGGCACTTTTTATTGAGGTTTTCCCTTGTAAAAGTTAATCAATATCTCTTTAACTGAATTAGCATTAATCGTGAAAGATATTTATCTACTGAGAGTAGGGGAGTAATGCATTTAAATTTCTTGGGAATTAGTCTGAGAAAAACCAAAACAAAATTTAAAGTGTAAAGTTCTTTGACTAAGTCAGCTCTTGAAAACATCTAAATGACATACAAAAGACTTTAAGTTAGATTTTATAAATATAGAAGCAAAAAATATGTATATACAAGAGTAACTTTTTTACACCACTCTCCCAATCAAGATTAACTTGTAACCCAAGTAATAGCTGTGCAGAGCATCCTAAATCTGTGAAAAACATTGTGAAGTTTCCTAGCTTAATTTCAGGAAATTTATTCACTAAGAGAATATGATTCTTTTTATTGTGTAAGCAAAGTCCTGTCTACATTACTAGTCAACAACCAAGACAGAGTGGCTGGGGGTAAAATTTCTCTCCCCCCCCCCCCCCCCCCATGAATGGTTTTCAGGCAGCACAGGACTGACTCCCTGAGAGAAGAAAAACAATGTGAGCCGTAAAATTGCACCACCTTCTAGCTAGTGATGAAGGCGATGTCCAGGCTGAAGCTGGAGTGGCTGAAATGCAAGAGAGCCCAAGAGTGTATCTCCATTAAAAAGTCAGAAACGAAGAATATATGGTTCAGTACTAAGTTAGCTTGTTTCTCCATTAATAACAGCTCCTTTGGGAGCCTTTACTAAGGCTGTCAGAATTAGTGATAAAGAGCAGTTTGCCAGCCTCTGGGTGCTCACTAGTTGCAACATAAGGCTCACAATTACTATCCACTTTCACACACATCAGACCTTCACAAGAGGGACAGGCAGCCCTAGCTGATTTGGTTCAGTGGATAGAGCGTCGGCCTGTGAATTGAAGGGTCCCCAGTTTGATTCCAGTCAAGGGCATGTGCCCAGGTTTCGGGCTCGATCTCCAGTAGGGGACATGCAGGAGACAATCAATCAATGATTCTCTCTCATCATCGATGCTTCTATCGCTCTCTCCCTCTCCCCTCCTCTCTGAAATCAATAAAAATATATTTTAAAAAAAACAAGAGGAATTGGGTTAAAGGAAGACTATACCCTATTCCTAGGGGCAATGGGGATTGTTCCACCCCATCTCTTGACTGAAATGAAGTGCCTCCACTGAGGTAACAGAAATGTCAGTGTACTCGTTCTGTGTCTGGCAGTTCCTGAATTTAGTGAATCAGCTGAAGTTCTGTGGGCACACAAGAGTCAGGTAAGTGACCCTGAAATCTACACTCTCCCTTCTAGTTCTCTGCTGTTTGAAATACTAGCCAGAGGAACTACCCTCTTTAAATTCACTATTACTACCGAACAGCATGGGTAATATAGGCTCTAAAATCCTGTCTTTCTGTCACATTTGGGGTGGGTATATCAGATTCCAGTCTTGTAGTGGCCTGAGGATGGTTCTTTTGATTTGGATAAATTAATGTATTTTCTGGAGCTCGTAGGCCTCATCCTAAGTAAGTAAATTACTGGTATTTATGAGATGGATATAATTCTAAGATAAAAAATCAAAATGATTTGGATAGTCAGAAGAAAAGATTGAAAAAAATGGAAGAGAAAACATGAGAATTCAAGGCTCTTTGCCTTTCATAGAACCCTCCTCCTCCTTTCTCCGTTGTCCCTGCTCCCGCTCTCCCCCTGTATATCTTTATTCCTCCTTGCCTCACACTGATTTTGGTGAAGGTGAGGTAATGATCTTTTAAACAGGCGATTCCTCCCATTAATGGGTTTCCCTGTAAAGAAGAATAAGAGCACAATGCCTTTAGCTGGTAATGAAATTACCTGTTCTGTGTGAGGACACAAGCTTATGTGCCCTATGGCCCTGCCCTGAGTCCACTTGACGTCTTAGCCCAGTTCCACCTGCAAGAGTCCCTTATCAGCCACACACCGTGTAGCCAGGGGAGCAGACATGATAGAGAGACCTGATCAGAGACCTGTCTAGCTGAGCATTAGATAAAAGATTGTGTCCTTTGGTAAAGGCAACACTAATCACTTGGATAAAGCCAAACAAACCAGCTGTTAAGCTGATGAATGAAGAGAAACCAAAGTACCTTGTCATTTACATTTTTCTTATCTCGATGTGAGGAAAACCAGCCCTTCCTATTTGGATCACATTTGAGAAGCTACCTAGGACTCCCGATCTTCCACACACCATTTGTGCCCAATGATATTACTCATGTAATGGCTTCTTCTCCCTGTGCTCCAGAAACTTTGCAGAGGTACCCCAAAGCATGTGTTCATGCATGGAGAGGTACACTGGGTGCTGTATGCAGTTCTGCAAATGGCAGATTTTGCTCCTGTAAAGGAGTAAGCATGACAGGGTATAAGTCACCACATCAAGAAATATGGCAGCCAAGGGCAACTGACTATCCCCCACCATACACAAGTATAGAAAGCCCATCTTCATTTTTTATAACATAGTAAAATTAACTAGTATGCATCAAATACTCTAGCCTTAAATTTGACACAAAAATGTTTTAGCTCATTTGATTGAAAGGATGATGTAGAAAAAATCTAATTAACAAACAGAAATCTGACATTTATAGACAGAAACTGTAAAAAATTGATCTAATGTAATTTGATTAACTTTGGAATGTACGTTTTCTGCAGGACAAGTATACCTCCATAGATTTAGATGACTA